ATATAAGGTTTCTTGGTATCATTCTGATCTTACTATAGATATGATTCGTTAAATGTTCGCAGATTGATTCTTCTGTTTGTTTAAAGCTGATAAAGATGAATAATGACCGAAATTTATTAATCCGGCGTATTGGTCGTATTAAAAGAAAATATTCCAATAAATATAATTTCTTGAACACGAAATACTTATAGTATATGGACAAATACCTACATTTTAGGAAAATTCAAATTCTTCAATAGTCGATTTATGTGAATTAATTCAATCATAGTTAATATGATTATCATGATAATTTGCCATCTTGTTTTAAAAGAATATGAACCAATGATGTCTTGAATATTCAACATGAATTTTAAGTTGTAAGCATTTAATAGATTACTATTATGATACCAACTAGTATCTTTATGAATCTGAAATTTGATTGTGACATTTAAAAACAAAAAAAAAATATGTTATTTCTATATTTATTTCAAGGGAAAAATGACAATGAATATTTAAAAGATTCCGGCTTCTTTAGAGTATTTCTTCTTAGAGGCTAACTTTTCCCATCACTAATAACGAACGCTCTATGAATAATAACCGGAGTAATTCTATGATCGACAAAGTAACATCTGTATGTAACATATTGCGTGAAATGAAACGCACTTATTTTTACTACTGTTACACTGATGTTCATAGGGAATTGTCCATTGTAAGGAGCAATATTATTAACTATATCATTCTTTCATTATGAATGTAACCAAACGAGAGCAATCTCAATTAGATAATTATACAAGCATTTTACGATTATAACTGAATCCAATATGTTCTTACGTACTCGACTATTTAGAAAAATACTCTTTAACGTATCAAAATCGTAATCGGATTGAACAAAGAAAGAGGGAAAGATACAATATTGGTCTCGTTTTTGTGTAATATTACGACTGAAAGATCATTAGAATTAACGAACGGTGATCAAGAGAATGTTAGTGCGGAGAGGAGTTCTCTTCTATGTAAATACCGCGGATTGTATTTAATTCTAGGTTTCATCTATTTTGTGCTGAAAGTTTTTCACTTTTTGCTTCAACCGTCGAGGGGTACGATTTAAAGATTTCTAACAGGAGTTTGATAAAATTTCAATGCCAAAGTACATTAAACAAGAACTTATATGTGTGACGATACGTCAAACTACGTAATTATCTCGAACGTGTAAGGTAATGAACACACCACTTGTAATTTTCTTCATTGTGCATTTCAGCTTTCTATTAATCATAATTGCCCTTTTTAAGCATGAACATTTTGTAGGGCATACTATTTGATCGTGTGTCTTAAATTATTAAGGCAATTCAGTATTTATAGAAATGAACACTTATAGTTGGACACTATAATCTAGGAAAGAAATCTATATTTGTATCATTCTTGCTCTTCGATTGTTATTGTTTGTAATTTTATTTTTATTTTGGTTATTGATTTTGAAAAAAAGAAACTATTTTTTTTTATGGTTAAAGTAACTACACTTCGTTCCTCCCATTTAATTTATGTTAATTTCAGGATGATTTATTGTTTAAAATTTTTCACTTTTTCGTTGAAAAACTTTCATCGAAGAAATAAAAAATATTTCAAACGTATATCTAGGTAATTCAAGGTTGACTCAAATGTAATGTTTGTTTTTGAATGTATGTCTAAAAAATGGTCTTATCGCGTGCAAACACTAATTATATCGTTTAATATGCTGTTATTGTATGTAATGCATAATGCGCAGCATCTTTATGAATATTTATAAATAAATACGTATGTACATACGTATAAGAAAGAATAAAAGAGCATTATAACTTTAGAACAGAATCACCATTACTCGTGTCACGGTTAAGTGAACATATGAAAGAGTAATCAAGTTCCTTATAATAATTAATACATCCGTATCTCGATTTTCACTATACCTTTTTACATGGTTAAAAGAATCTACTTCCCTTAGAGTATATACACACAAATTATTCTACATCGTACAAAAGCAGTTTTTATTATATTATTCATATACATATTCATATGTACATCATTCTTTTTTCATTTTCTAATCTTATTGAATGTACATCGTATATTGAATCTGCAATATGCAAAACCATTTTTCTTCTTAGACTTTCTCTCTTTTTTTAATATTGGCAGAATTTCATTCATACAGTTTTCTGTCGCATATAGAAAAATGTGAAATATGCCCGTTGTGTAAATCGAGGGCCGAATGTATTCACTATTTGACAATATACAATGGTTTTAAATGCTCTTAATTCTTATGTCTCTTTTATATATCTAACAAGAAAAGCAACCCAATTGATCAACTTTAATTACAGTTCTTGTGCAGTATTATAGTATGCAAGTCCCTGATGACATATGTAAAGTATTAAGTGTAATTACTCAATAATTTTAAAGAAGTAAACAACCATGGTAACATACTTGTAATGCATATTGGAAAACGAAGTTTTACATTTATTGTACTTAATATTTTACATTTATCATTTGAGATTTGTGTTTTATCATTCTGCAAAAGCAAATGTAAGTAGTCATGTATTTTTCTAATGGATCTGCATTAAATATTTTTCAATAGTTTGTTTAGCACAGTGTTCTATGGTTCAAATAAAAATGACAAAATTTATTAATACATTATTAATTTAAAATAATGAATTATATATACATATATATCTTACATAATTAATATGCATACAAACTACTTTCTTCAAAAATGTTCTAATACTTTTTTAAAGAGAATAGAAAGCTACATCCAAAGAATCATTAAGAAATGTAACGCAATTGAAAGAAATAAGCATCATTGTACTTTACAGCGATATATATCTGTATACCTAAATTCATAGTAATAATCTAGGAGTTCAGAACATTTAGAACCATTCAATCTTACTTTACGTACTTTATACATAACGTAAAATGTTCTAATAATAAAGGCTGTTCTCTTTTGTGGGACAATCTACGTGTCCATCTCATAGTATAGATCCAGGGCAGACCAAATTTTATTCACATAATACACAACAAATAAAAGCAATGTATAGAGGTCTGTCAAAAAATGTTTGTTTATTGGAAATTTATTGGACACTTTGTTTTGAAGTTACTTACTCTTTAAATAATATAATTTTTTTATTTATTACTTATTACAAAAATGAAGGGAGCAAATAAAAAAACAATATTAAGAATACCAAATGATGCTTTAAAATTGATGTGAACCTTATCAAGAATCATTGGCAAAATGAAAATTATTGTTCAAAATCAATGGTAACACAAGCATACTGTTTCATTTATCAATGAAACATTATTTCATTAAAAAATTAATTTTTAAAGAATTATCCCGTTACAGTAAAAAATATTCCAAATTTATTTATCCGTATTTTACTGACTTATTTGATTATTTTCATTAATAAAAATGACTTGAACGTATAAATAAAAAAAGTCCATAATTAAAAGAGTACATCAAATTTTCAACGCTACAGTATTTCTTCTAAGATTCTTGATTTTTCGTAACTTCTTCAAAATAATTCAGTACTCCTTTATTTTTAAATTTTAAAAGTAATCTAGTAAACCTTGAAGTACCTACGTGCAAGAGTACGTATAACTTATTAAATTTTATTCTTACTATTATATGAATTTCAGTGTAAATATTTTCACATTTAAAGGCGATAAGTAATGATGTCCACAAAAAAGAAAAAACAGCAAATGTAACTGTGAAAATAAACAACTGAAAAGATTAAAGATTTTATCGCTTGAAACATTATACAATATAAATACAAGAAAAGGGACGAAAACATCTTTCTTTAAACTATTATGTTTTAATATGCAGTACTATGTACAAATAACACATGCCATGCGTCTTTTACTTAAACTTAATTATATAGCACTATTTATGATGCCCCGAAATTAAATTCTTATACATTTATTTCCTTTGTAAAATATAAATATTCATGTACACTAGTGTTACATACCTCAGAAAAAAAATTCGTGTTTTAAATTTAAATAATTTAATTCATCTTGTAATATGAAGATTTTCTTATCTAATAGATTGTTAAAATGATTTAACATAAAAGTAAAATTATACGCAATAGTTTAAAAAATTTGTATTTTCTTGAATTTATATAAATTGTTTACATAATAAATAATAACAATTCGCTCTATAAGTTTCCCAAGAAATATGCTGTATGAATTAACATAACTTAAAATAATTTATGTTTATATACATAATATTTGCAAAAAAGCCTTTATACTTTGTAATAATCATTGATCTATCATCTATCGTCTTCATAAAACTTACGTATACTTTCAGGTAATACTTTATAAACTTTAAAAAAGTATTGAAACATCCACTTTTTTTTACACTTAACGTACACTTGTTTATCAGCTGAGTGTTACAGAATCTGTAATATGTATTCTAACAAAATAGAAGCCCACAACTGTTAAATCTTTTCTAATGAAAATAATGTGCAATGGCAATCTTTTTTAATTAGAATGTAATAAATTAACAGTTGTATTAGTGACATTATGTAATATCAAAAATGATAAAACAATATAGATTCTATGGAAGAATTAAGTTTCCTTAAAAATATATGCGTACAGCATTTATTATAGGTACTCATTGTGTTTGTATTCATCACATATTTGAATACACAGTTTTTAAAATAATCTTTAAATTATATTACAAACACAAACACAAAATACTTGATTTTGTTTATGAGTATATCTGAAGATATATATATTCTGTATTGCAGTTTTAAAATTTACAAAAACCATGAACTGCAAATTATTTGTCTTATTATGATATTTTAGTATATAATTGTATAATGTTTTGAGTAACATGCACAGAATGTGGAAACTTTTAATTCAATAGTTACTCTTTGCAACAATTAGGAAAGCATTCCTCCTTAAAATCAATGAAGATATATTCAAATTTAAATTAAATTGTTAAAATAAACCTTCAATTTCAATGTTAACATCCGAAATTTTGAATGACTAAAAAGTATGGAATCATTTTCAGAAGCTGAAACGAATAATTTTCTTATATCCTACATGAGACTTAAATATACTAATTAAATAGTGTTGTATTATCTCTGTATAAACTGGATAATGAAAATTTATTGTTTTCCAAAACTAACGAATTTCACAGTAGTCTAAAGAATGCACTGATAGTAATTTTAAAAATAATGAATATAAAGCTCGAACTTAGATGTGAAAACGCAGATTCATTAGATTTTTCGTACAGTTGTTTCCTTGATAGAATTTAGACATCGCTTGCTATGTACATGTACTTACTATTCTCTCGTATATACAAGAATATACAAGGTGTCATTGAACTAGCAATTCACTTTCACAATGATTGATGCTATACGAAGAAATAAATCAAAAGTAGAAAATAATATTTCTTTTCTATTTGACATTTTGTATTTAATACAAATTATTTTGGGCGTCTATTCGCTAAATAATACCAGCATATTCAACAGTGATCTCACAATTTGAAAAAGTAATTTCACGAGATAAAAACGAATTTGAATCTGAACAGGAACATCTGTTAAAACAAGACCAAGTGTAAATACAATATTTCTTAAACTGTTCAAATATAAAAGAACACGTTATTTTATACTTTCGGATTATTTCTTCTTGCAGCTTCAGTCCGAGTTAGATTGCACTATTACTCGTATGCTATCCTATACAGGGTGTTTAAAAAATTTGAGATCAAATTTTCCTAGTACATTGTATAAGCAAAACCAGAGAAGAAGTGTTATATGAACGAAAGATAAAAGAGTATATTTAAGAGAGTAGTTCTTCGTCATCCAAAGACTTTTTAATGCGACCTCTAACAATTACAACATATGAGTTTCTTTCTTCAAAATTACCAGCAACGTTTTCCACGCAAATTTATAAACGCTTAGAATTGTTAATTTTAATTTACAAAGTATGATCATAGTGACAATTCTGTATTCGTGCAGATTGTACGAATCGATTTTGATGGTTTTCCATATTAAATACAATTAAAACAGATAGAATAATTCCGAAACGTATTATCACATTTGCAAGACATTCTTTTCCGCGTGTCTCTACTGGCAGAATGCATTGGTAAAATTTGATAGCCTCAAATTCGAAATGACCCGAACAGTTCGCACGTACTGTTGCTCTAATAATGTTGTGTAATTTGTTAAGAACAACCAAGTACACTATTTTTAACGTTGCGAAGGAGTCTGCTTCTTCCTCGTGCCGATTTGAATTTCAACAACTCCTTCGCGAGTCGCATTCATAAGATAATTAAAGTGGAAAAGCCTTAAACGAGTTTAGAAAGTTCATTCTTGATCGGCAAAGTGTAGGCAGCGTGCTACATATAGCATATCATAATGAATATAGATCAAGATAAGTGTACACACTCCATATATAATAGAAATGCACGTGGCCGTTCGCACGAGAGAAACAAGTTAGACACCCCTTTGCTCGCTTTCTTCTAGGGAATCCATTTAAACACGATGCTGTATGGCTTGATGGAGAATTTCGATGTTACTGTCTTAGCGAATAACTGCCAAACTCTTCGTTACATGGTAGAACGTAAAGAGGTTTCTTAAGATTCTCAACGTTTCTTTGCAACTGAATCTACCGTGATTTAAAGAAATGCAGCCATGAAAGTATCACGAAGCTTGCAGTGTGCCCAGCTCTCGTGTTTCCGTTCGGTGACGTGGGAATGTTACGCGATCTTAAATGTTACTCGAATAGTGAACTGTTTTCTTCGCTAATCACATGTTATAGACGTTAATCGTATATTGTTAAAAATTGATCCTACATGATACGCAAATAGGTGGCGTCAGATTTTAGGGGATCGCTTTAGGGGTTGTCAAAGCGAGAAAGAAAGGCTGAACATGCGAGGACACGTCGCGAATCATTCATCTTTAACAGTAGAACTATATCGAGCAGCTGAATTGATTTTTAAGCATTTTTTTAATAGAAACCGTACAGGTGCATTGATTAAGATGCCAGTTGAGTTATATTTTAATTTGTATATTAATAAATCAACTATTTTAATCATTTCTCGAAGAAGCACTCGCGTGCTTTCAATAATTGTGAAAGAATAAGCGAAGAATGGGTCATCTTGACCCACTTGGTAGTTCTAGTGTTAATTTCTGAATTCGAAGATTAAACATTCAGAAAGGAAACGGTATGTGAATATTTTTCATTCTGACATATCTAAATCTGATAACTCTAAATCTGATCGAATGAAAGGTCGGTAATTAAACTTCACTTTCATTCGTTGCTCGGCAAACTATTTACAGCAAATTTATGTTGTGTACATTATATTCGGAAAGACGTTTTCTTTGTAATAGAAGTTGTTCCAGTGTTTTTGTGAAAAGTATTTATTTCATAGTACACGAACTTTATACGTTATAAAAACGTTATAAAAAGTGAAATAATTAAAATTTTAAAGGGGTATAATTTTATATGTTAATTTTGAATACAATACGAATGGACGTATAAATAATTAACAATAAAAATAATAATTAACACTGTACAGGTGGATGATTCTCGAACTCACAGGAGCAAAGTCTTTCGGTCGCTAAAATTTGACGCGAAGTATTTTGAACGCGCTGTATATGTGCATATTAGAAAATTTGTACACGTGTACTAGTTCAAGCAAAGAAAGTGTTCACGAGGGAAGAGTCGGGGGCGAACATTTTTCGTGTCTTCGGTGATGCGTTCGAAGGGATCGAAGAAACAGAATGGCGTCTAGTATATAGAGTATTTAGATGAACAGTAATGAAATGAATTTTGGCATGGAAATTTTTATCCATATATTTGGCGATCGATGGAATGGTACGAATAAAATATATGGGATCAAACAATATTGTTTATATTGGGTGGCCGAAATTTATCTAGTCATTACGCTAAGAGTAAGACGAGTACACGCATACGTATGTAATATACATACACACGTGAACGTATAAATACGTATGTATGCAGGCTATAGATAAACAAAATATAAATATAAATATAAATATAAATATAAATATAAATACAAATATAAATATAAATATAAATATAAATATAAATACAAATATAAATATAAATATAAATATAAATATAAATATAAATATAAAGATGAACATAAATATAAATACGAATATAAATTATAAATACGAGATATAAATATAAATAACAAATGAATAAAAATAAAGTGAAATACTCAGCCATCGCGAGCCACCCTGACTGAACGTGTCTAGCCACACTTTAATAAATAACAATTTGCAAGTAACGTTATTGTCGGTCTGACCTTGCGTGATTATTTTGAGAGGGCATCATCTTCAAACAGAAAATCGGCTACGCTTCTTCTTCCGTTTACCTTTTTCTGTTCAAGGGAAGAGCTGTTCGAGTGAAACTCGCGAGAAACTGCAAATGTAGATCGCGAGACTGTACAGAGGTCTGTAAATTATTAGACTCGAAACAATTCTGATTCTACTCGTTTCTTTACTTATCAATCGAGGGAAATCAATTTCTTTCCATTTTTATTTTTCAACCCGAACACTCGGATTCTATCGTCGATTCTTTGCATTCTCCTTCGAAACGACACTTTTGTACCACGCCATTGGATTCTTGTTGAATATCCCGTATTATTCGATCATTTTCTTCCTCTATGAAATCGTGCTTTCCAGAATTTGAATTTTAGGGGAGAATTAAGGTTTTCATTTTGAACGTATTCAGATGTATATTTTGAAAACTTGTTAAGAAAGGTGAAATGCGAAGTGTAAAAAGCGAAGACTTCTCGCGTGCAACGGACAAAGCAGTTTGTGCACTTGGAAGAGAGTTTCGAAACGAGTTGTTAAAATTGAAAATTTTGGAACATGATCTTGTAGAGAAGAGAAGAGAAGAAGCGAGTAACACGGTATAATGTTTATTATAAAGACAGTGGCATTCTAAAGAAATTTGATCTCTAAAGGAAGGTTACGAATTGATGATACCGAACATAAAAATTCGAAAATTCGAACCCCGTGAAACTGCATTCTGCGAGCATTTGTAGACAATTGTTATTAAAAGAAAAAGAACATTAGAAGGGCATCGATACAGACAGTGAAGCGCATTGTAAACCATTAACCAAATACAAGATCGTGTTAAAAAGAAAGGGCATCTTGCTAGCTATTCAAATGTATGTGAACAAAGTGTGAATAAAAATATTATTTTGAAAGAAGCTCTCGTCGCTTGTCCTTTTCTAGCTTAGGTCTAATAATTCGCATGGCCTCTGTACCATTACATTTCATTGAAAATTACAGACGTCGAGTGCGCGCAAACGAGATACTACAGTGGTCTTAGAGAATAATGTATATTGCGTGGTGTTATTGACCGTGACAGCGTATTGAAAGTTACTTCCAGAAAAATCGTTACAAAAACGCAAAAAAAGAATAATACTATTTAAAATATTACAAGTTAGAAACCGACGATGTTTCTTATGGTCGCTTGTACGATATAAAGACAAATATATATTATAAATACATAAAGATACAAATATATAAAGCTACGTGGAATCCCCGAATGCGAATTGTTACCGCAAACGCGTATTAAAAAAGAAGAAAAAAAAAAGTATTCGCTTCCGAATATTATTGTAAGGGGCTTTGATACATTGAACTATTATAGAACCATTCATATTTAAACGAGGAGGGACGAGCACACACTTTTATTACGCTATCCACTCTCTTCGATTGTCCCGCGAGCGAGGGAATCGGTACCATTGGTCCCGTTTCCGGTCGCCGCGAGAACAAGGTGAACCCTGAGCGTTCGCGAATGTGTTATACAATTGAAATGCTCGTGTACTGGTAGCGGATAGTACAGTTTTCGTGTGTCCAGATAACAAAATGTTCGTAAGTTTACGGCTCGCAATACGAAAAATAAAAAGGGAAAAAAAATATGAAGGATGTCGCGTTGTTCGAGATTACTTGCCGATAGAATGAGTATCGGTCAGGGAAGCACGGAAATTAACTTTACTAAGACTTCGAATCGAGACAATTATGTATAGCTTTTTATATGAAGTCAGACAATGAAATTCCACGACGTGCAGAGGTCGTAAATAAAACGCGCAGCGAGACTTCATTTGTGAGAGTACATTTAAGTCGTATTCGCTAGTATAAGTTCGATTAATGTTAACAAATGAACCTTCGAGCTCGTCAGATTCGGAACACTTGGAAACGAGGAAGTTCGCAATGACCTTTGTTCTCTTACCGTTTTGTTCAAGCTTTCTATAAAAGTAGACTCGTCGGAAATGTTCGACGCATGTTTATTCTTTTATGACCCGTGTTCGTATTAACTGGGTGAAGATGTCTTGTCAAGTTTAACACGGAGAAGTATTTGTCTATGTATTAACGCTAGAACTACCGAACGTTCAACTTCTTGCCTATGTATTATTTCTCAAATGTAATCGATGTAAGTACTTTGTCATTAATACTTTATTGAAAAAAGAGAGAAAAACTCTAGGTATATTCCATGCCCGCGTTTGTTCTATTATAGAATAATTATATATTATATAATAATTGATGACAGAAGATTAATATTTCATTTGAATTCAATGGAATTTAGCGATATTTATGTTTGTTAAACTCTGTTTAAAATTTCGTCGCGAGATAAGGGGTTGATATGATTAACATGTGATTCTTATAAAAATTGTAACAATAGATTTCTTTTGGTTTCTTCGTGTATTCGTTGTAGTACTCGCGTGAAGCAGTTTACGTTTACAATCGTTTAGGACATTTGACACTGAGTTAACCGTTTGAGCCTCGGGTCTCCTCAAAATCCGGTTGAAAAGTGGCAAGTGGCGCGATCGATCCATTTTTCTATTTCTAAGCAGGTAATAAAAAGATAGAAATAAAAAATTAAAAGGAAAACAAATAAAGTTAATTCTGGCACTTTTAGTGTAACGGAGAAGCATTATCGTGCTGCTTGGTACATACTCAAACGGTTAAGATATCAATAATTGCGAAATAAGGCAACTGAGACCCGCCATTTTGTCGGGTGCGGTAGTTCCAGTGTTAAATATATAAATGTGAACTACTGTATCATTTATGGCAGTTAGAAACTATCATCGATCAGAATTTGTTTATATAATCTGATGTTTTCGTTTTAATAACAATGATCATCTTTATTTCGAAAGATTTCTTAGAAATTACCATTGTTGAAAACTGACAAATGAGAATTGTTACTTTGAAACAAATGGTGACACCATTTTTTATGCTTTCGAAATTCTGTTTGTGCCACATTCTGCCTGACACGAGGGCAACAATTTTTCTTTATGTTACATGCGTTTCTGTCCCGATGGAATAGTACTTTCTTCAATGATATAATTGAACAACCGTTTAATTATAGTTTCATAATTTCATCTGTGTTCATCTCTGGATATTAAAGAGATCTGCGTCAAACATTTTAGTAGACTCTATGCGAAGTTTTATCGAAATCAGTCAGCACGTTACAGTTATAAGCGATGTTCTACGTTAGAACGACTTTAGGATTTATCAAAATTGTTGTATTATCGAGAAATAATTTGTTTTTTTTCGAATAGGGTTGGCATTGACCAAGTAATTTGTGAGACGACAGAAATTGCATTTTTACGCTGAATGAACCGTTGATTTGATGTGCTGTTTATTTATGAGCAGTTTTATATAACAACCCGACGTCATTCTAAAAGGAAGAGAACATGAATTTTCTAACGATCACTGATCGTGCAAAGTCAGTACGAACGATAGACGCAACATTACTTTAAGCAAATCGTTGGTAAGATAATCTAAACGCAACCATTTGTAACGTCTGTAAGTGATAAATTATACCTTATACATAAATAGAGCTTGCGCTGTAGCTTCATCAGTCATGAAACAGACTACAAGATATCGTGACTGTCTATATCAATGTTTGTGAGTGTACTATAAGTTATAAATTATAAGTGAACTACTGAATGTGTACATGGTAATATTATACTAGTCCATATTAAGATAATAATAAAATGTAATTTTGAATTCAAATTCTAAATTCGTCTAGATTAATACTTCGAGTATTCCCTTTTTGTTGTCTTTTTTTTATTTTAAGTGGGAAGCACAAGAAGGTATTACATTTGAATTGTAAAAGTGTGAAGAGCAGTAATGGTAACATACAAGATCCATTCTTTGAATACAAAATTGCTGATAAAGTTATAATACTAAAGCATTCGAATTTTTATTTATTTCTATGAGTCTACGATCTTTTGTAACGAATAAATATTTATGTAATAATTTAAAGATTGTTAGATTTAATTGCTGGTTTTAGTTAAGAACAGTTGGCTTAAAATACCTGAATAAACAATAATTGAATGTTTACTGTGGTATCATTGTTGGAATTTTATAGTTTTTCCCTTTATAATTAGAATTCGAATCTGTGATATATGAAAGCATGAAAAATATATTTTTCTGTAAATGCTTAGAATCTTATTCGCGAAGATAGAATAAAATACACTGCTAAGAAAAATGATTTGACAAAACCATTACTTTGTTTCTTAAGACGTTCGCTACCAGCGCTTATTTCAGTGGCGGAATCATCAATTATATTTTCTTCGATCCAATAAATCTTCTAAAGAAAATATTAGAAAAATGAAACTGAAACGAGTCATTGAGTTCCTAAATATAATGTCGCATTTTATAATTTCTAATAACAATATCTATAGGATTAATTTCATGTTCATCGAGTAAAATGTAAAATATAGGATTACGGCTGTCAGAAATATATGACGCTGGCACTAGCGAACGTGTTAAATAGTAAACGTTTGGATTTTATTCGACATTCTCAATTTATTCGTGAACCTTTTTATAATTTCGATATGTCTAATTAATAATGTCTAACAGTTGTGCAATTATCCTGAACATATTTTCAGTTTTAAATGTCGCAACTGCGGGATACCTGAAAGTGGCAGCACCAATCAGGTGTTACAGACTTGGTCTCTGGTCTATATTGTTAATGCGTAGTCGTGGATCATATTTTCTGAATACGGAGTCGCGCTTGTGGTAAAATGCAATGTCTACCTCGCGGGAGAAAAGTCTGTTAATTAATAATTTTTTGGATTTTTTGTGTAGGACCGTTAGCTACATAAAAGTTCCTTGCTAAGTGAGTGATTTGCTTGTTGTTTGTCATGTAAAATGAGCTTTTCCGTGAAAAAAACAGGTGGTAGAATGTGGCATGAAGCGCGAAAACAGGAAAAGAAAATTCGTGGGATGCTGGTTGACTATCGTCGCCGAGCTGAACGACGAAGAGATTATTATGAGAAGATTGTAAGATATACAATAAAATAATGATCGTCTCTTAATTTTATAGCACCTGAAACAATTAACTTTAATTGGCAAAAAATATAACTTTAATGACCTCCTTGGCTGTTAACCTCAAAGTTTCGATTTCAGATTTTTATTTCAGATTGAAAATATAAATACAGTGTCTTAAGATGCAAAATTACCCATAACCAAAACAATTTAATTGTGCAATAGTTATTTTCTCTTGCTTAACTTTTTTAAATGAAAGAAATTTCAAAATTAATATATATATATTAATTATATATATTAATAATATATATAAGTTAAATTAAATTGGAGAATGTTTATTTTTCTGATACATATATCCTATGGTTTCACAGAAATCAGATCCTACGCAATTTCTACAACTGCATGGAAGGCCCTGTAAAATACATTTAGATCCTGCGATAGCAACGGCTGGTGATAGTCCAGCAAATATGTAAGTTGAATTATTCAAATAAATTTGAATTTAATCCATCAATACTGAAACTATATCTAATTATTATTCCACTTCCGAATATATATTCTATTTATAAAATAAAACTTATAAATGTGAATGATACATTAGTTGATTATACATATAACATTTTCATCTGTGTGTATAGTGTAATATTTAACTTTTACACTATTATAATTCTTTTCGCTTTACTAATAACAATATTTCTAGTTATTAGTTATTATTAGAAGAATAAAGTTATAGAAATAATATTTTGAATAATTCTAAAAGTGCTTTTTAATCGAAATACTTTGATTTTATACATTTCTATATTATCAATATTCTATTAGAATATGTATCTTTTACTTTTGTCATTCGATACTCATTTCTTTAATTTGAAAATTTTTTACATAATTAAAAGTAGATAATGATTTTTAAGTTACATCTGTACTAACAAATATTGACATGCATATAAAATGGTCAATAAAACGTGTAGTATTAATATATTGGAAAACAATATGTTTATTGTACAAATAGGATGCCGTGGCAAGGAAACGAGGACAATCTTATTGATCGTTTTGATGTACGTGCTCATCTTGATTGGATACCAGAAGCACCAGACTCTATTGATGTAGATATTGCTCTTACTAGTGAAGATAGACATATCAATTATGAACGCTATCGTATAATCGTGCAAAATGAATTTTTAGGAGGTGGGACATCGTTTTTATTTCAATGCTTCTTATATTTTATGTTTCAACTGTTGGTAAATAATAGTTTTCAACACAGTAACGGAAGAAAAGTTTCTACACCAAATACATCTAGAAGAACAATTTGGTTCATCAACCAAATTAGATGCTACAAGAGATAAGAAAAAATCAAGTAATAATGTAGCCATCGGATACAATTATGAAACAGAGGAACCCATACCTGAAACGATAAAATCGTTAGACGCTGTTGTATCTGATGAGAAAGGAGATGACGAAGATAGCGATATCGATCTAGGTATTGTTTAATTTCTATCAATTATTTTGAAACATTATATATTTTTAGGCTGTATTCCATTTTTTTATAGATATTTGCGTGGATGTATCCCAAATTGAGCCATCACAAGCGCATGAAATGAACTTAGTGGCTCAAAAATATGGACTTTTAGGGGCTGATTATTTCAGTTTTTTAACTCAAGATTTTGAAGAAGCTGAAACTTTGAGACAAGCACGTAAACAGGAAGAAGAAAAGGCTATGTATTCGGTAAAATATCTTTGTTTGCCTATGATTCTGTCATACAATAAAAATCGATCAAAAAGTATTTATTATTATTAATAACTTCAAATATAAAATGTTATAGGGGAGAAGATCACGGAGAGAAAGACGCGCATTTAGGGAGAAAAAGATGATTGGTCGAGTTATGAGTCCACCGAGGTAATTATATTCTGAATTGTAAAACGGTTTTCAGTGGTCATATTATTTAATTTGTTATTAGCTATGCTGCTAGGGAAAGTCCTGAATATAACCCCTACAGAAAATCTTCGTCTAAATCTCGTTCGAGATCTACATCACCTGTAAATACTGGACAAATAACTTACATTACAAGTTTTGGTGGCGAAGAAGAGACTCATGGAAGTTCGTCTCATGTTACTTCTTCCAATTCAAGAAAAGTCAATTATTCCCATCTCAGACGAAGAAGATCAGATAGTCCGATGCTTAATGAAAGAACAATAAATAGAAAGTTTTCAAAATCAAGATCAAGAAGTTGTTCCCGATCTGTTAATAAACCTAAAACATATAGGAACCGTGACAGAAAACGAAGCACATCAAGAATGAGGTAAGTAATTCTTTAATAGTAAGGACTTTTTTTTATCTTATGCTCTCATTGTTCGATTTATCTAAAATGGTATAAAAATATTAAGAACGATCATTAACATGAACAAAGACAGTCTACAGTAATATCCGTTAAGTTGTAATTTGATCAAGTGCACGTGTACTGAGTAGAATTTTAAAATCGATTTTTTTGAGAACGCAGTCTTAAATGAGAAACTTTTATTCTATATGTTCGACTTATTTTTTGATATAGAATCAGCCCCTATCCGGTTGTACCAACAACTGGTTACATGATACCCTGCATAATATTTATTTAATCTACGATACGTGATTCATGAATTACTTAAAATAATTAAGTTATACGATTTTCAGATCCAGGAGGACACGTTCACGACATAGAAAAATTACAAGATCTAGAACGAGGAGTCGCTCTAGACGACCACGAAGTCGAAGTAAATCTAAGTCTCGTTGCAGGAGTTTTAGTAGATCTCATTCTCGTACTGTTTCAAGATCGAAAACAAGGTCTAGATCTCGTTCACGCGCAAAAAGATCTAGAAGTTTGTCGTCGAGAAGTTCATCTAGATCAAAGTCAAAGTCAAGATCAAGATCGAGACTACGATCAAAATCAAGATCCAAATCTCACAATCGAAGCCATTCGAGAGATAGTTATCGCAGAAGACATTATTCTCCATCAAAATCAGCATCAAAATCTCGATCCAGAACTAAATCTCAATCTAGGTCTAGGTCAAGATCAAGATCAAGAAGTCAGACGAGATGCAAGCGATCCCGAAGTATTGAAAACAAAATGCAAACACTGCCAAGGTAAGACATATATTTATTTCCTTAAATATACAATTTATTTTAAACCTTTTTTCATCACAATCATAGATACTATGGTCGTCGTGGAAAATCGTCAAGCTTAGAATTAGAATTATCAGACAACGAAGATAAAGTTCCTACGGCAGCCCCAAAACCCACGGTTAATAACACCTCGAACATGTAAGTTAATAGAGAATCAAAAGTATATCGTGTATTACTAATACTTTGTATATAATAGTGTCGAACTTATTTCTAATATTTTTAGGAACAAGCCAAAAGCAGGGTTAAGTACAAATTCTGGTGGCGGACACAAAGTCAGTAAGAACCATAACACTTACTTAGTCACTAAAAGCACAGAGAATAAAAGACAGTATATATACTCTCTAATATATAACTACCCTCTCAACGAAGAACCTCAGCAAGTGCAACTTGTTTTTATTCTGTTGGGCATTCAAAGGCGTTTACATTATATTTCACATTTTATATTTTATTCTTTT